AAGAATGAGTATCTAGAGATAAGGTTACCGACATACGCTTTTTCTTCTATCTTCAAAAGCAAACAACCTAAAAACTCCCAAACCCTCTGTATTTTGATGGGTTTTTAACCTGAATAGGAACTGCTGTCTCTCCATGGTTGATTTTGTGCTGATCATCACAAGGGAAGACTCTCCAAGGCAGCCAAACTTTATAGACAGACAGATTTAAGGAGTTGAAAGGTATTGTAATGTAAGGGAGTTAATTTCTTATTGAACTTTCAGTGTAAAAGTTTGGCATGTAAATTTTCTGGGGCAGGTAAAAATAAAATACTATTCTCCATTATGTCTTTCGAACTTCTGCATAACAGGGTTTTCCAAAATATTCCATCACACTCTAGACCCACAAGGGGGCTTCCCCAAAAGTGTCCTATGAGAGACTCCATGATCAAATACATATTTGATATATATTGAAAAGTGCTATATCCTAGCCAACTCACCTTAGGGTTTCAAACTACACACTAGACCACTAAGTCTAACACTACAGAAATCTGTTTAACTTGATTAACTTGGGCAGTGTTTCCAAACTATTATCCGTAGGATCTTATTTTGTAAAACACTTGTTAACAATCATGGTCCACACAGTTGGAGACAAACATGAAACCCATAGAAAGTATGAGTAAAATCTCACTATGAGATACCCGAAGAAATCTGGCTCTCTTAGTGTGATTTATCATGACATTCTATTCGAAATCATATTGCCAATTCAATAGGGTTGGAAAAGAATTCAGTGGGGATTACTGGTGTCTCAATGGTGAACCAGATTATGGCTCCTTAATAGAAGAGATTGAGTCTGTACCCGTGTTCTGGTACTGGATCAGGTGCATTCTATGGGCTGTCAATCAATGTTACATCTTTGCCTTGAGCATTACAGGAGGAAGGACAGGGTCATATGTATCTTTATTACTGTTTTAGCCTTGAAAGTCTTAAGCATTTTTAAATGCATTTTGTTATTAGTTATAGAGGATTCAGATGATTAAGTTTCAAAATATTTTAGGAGCAAGCTTAGGAGATCTAAATAAAATGGAAATGTAATCACTGTTTGATGGCTGAACACAAGAATTCTGAAGGTTGTTTCTTTACTATGCTGCAAAATCTGAAATGTGATGTGTTAATTAAATAGGAACTCAGAAATGGTTTATCAATAATAATTTGTCATAACTATTATGGTCCTTATTCTGGGAAACTGGAAGAACTCTGGTGTGGAGATCTTCATTTGAAAAAGATTACATCTAGAGAAGTACTGAAAGCATTCTTTTGTGTATTATGTATATATTAAATATATAGGTCTCATGCAGCATTTCTTTTGATGAGACCAAAAGAAATTTCCAATCAGGGTATGTGCATGCAGATACACAAAGAAAACAAATATTGAGCATTAGATCCCACACTACCCCCAAATACTAGTTCAACATCCCTTGGAATGCAATTTGGAAATATCTCACTCTTCCAACTCCTACAAAAGTTCATACCAAATGGAAGAGAAAATTCAAATTTTGAAACCTAGTCCCAGAAGACATGTGTTCATGAGTGCCAGAATTCAGTCATCACTAATTGTAGCACAGAGTAGAAGTACACACCAGGGGTTAGACTATTTAAGCATTCCAAGGGAGAGAGTAATGTGTTGAGCACACAAACCCCTCTTACTCCCAACCCCACCCCACACTCTCCACAGGCACACAAGCAGGTACAGACAAAGCTACTGCCTCCTACCGGTAGAGTCGGTTCATCCTTGTCCCTGGCTGCAGATGGCTGCATAAGAGAAAAAGGCAAAGACAAAAGACAAAGAAATAAATAAATGAAGAATCACATATGGCATTTACATTTAATAACAAGCATCAGTATAGGGGAAGATTTCATTCTTTCTGCCCCTGGGATGAGTTAAGCCAAAACAGGGGACTGAGCATGTATATTTCTAGCCAAAATATAATGGTTTATTTAGGTACATGATTCATTCTCCTGAAAGGTCAAAGTTTAATGGCCAACCCGAATGTCCAGCTATACAAAGCAGTTAAGTCAACTGTGTCCCAGCCACACAGTGGAATACTATGTGATCATTAAAATGAATGAGGTAATTCACATGTACTGACATGGAAAATATCTATTGATAACTGAAAAAATTAAACATTTATAAATATTTATTGTTTCATTTCATAAAGGAAAATAAATTAATAATACTTTAGTGCATGTAAATGAAAAAAGTCTGCAAGAATGATACCGAACTGTTATTAGCAGTTGTTACTGGTGGATGGGATTGCAAAGAAATGTCATCTTTTATATGTTTTGGGGGGAGTCAGCATTCATTGCTCCAGGTATTGTGAATAAAATAAAGTTCACAGAAGTTAGGCCACTGAATTAAAGACTAGGATCATCCCACATGGAAATCAGATAACCCATCTTTTCTTCTGCTCCCTCACCTCAAGTTTTCTATTCTAAATAGAAGTCTCTGTCCAGTTGAGAAATGTGGATTAGAACACAAGGGCACATAAAGGCCTGGTAATCTGCTGGGAGCGAACGCAACTCAGACAAGGGGGCAGTGTAATTCTACCCACATGACCCACCTGGACAGCTTTTACTTCCTCAACTCAATAGGAACTCTCCTTCTTCACCAGAACCGGGCACTACCCTGGGACCTTTCCAACGAGATACAGGTGCCTGGTGAATAGTTCCTCATGCTTAGACACCACCTTTGTCACTTCACCTCAACTACAGGTGCAGACAGCAAGAACCAACTGGAACCTTTCCCCCATCTGGCATTCTGGTCCTCCCCAATAGGGTCTGAGCAGATGTCTGTCTTCAGGAATAATCACAACTCGGAGGAGAGTAGCCAGATGCAGAGCTGTTTTAAAACTTTCACGTGCTCTAGGCTTTCTGTTTTAGGGTCTTCCACACGTGTCTTGTAAAGATATTAAGATGTCCCCACATCCCATCTAAAAAATATACAATTTACCTAAAATATACAGTTTTGTGTAAAAAAAAGAGAAGGGATTCTTATAATTTTGAATTTCAATTATTTGCTATGTGCCATTCATTTAAGTTAGGATTAGCATGCTCAAAATCTTGCAAAGTGAAAAAATCAAATCTACAATTTGTTTTCACATGTAATGGATTTTTAAGAAGGTGAAATTTAATACTTAGTGAGGTTGATGTTAAAATTTTGTGGACATTCAATTAGATGTTTAATAATTTTGATTTTTGTAGACACCTTTTTGGATTCCGGAGTCAATACCAATGTGTTTTTATTCCCCTTCTGGTTCCAAGCATTTTTATGAAGAACTTGCAAGTCTCAGACATAAACAGAAGGGTTCTGCGTTGGTGGTAATTTCTGAGCACAGCCTGTGGGCACCACTAAATTTGCCTTAACCCTCGGGTTGGGGGCCCTCTCTCGGTGACTTCTCTAAAAACGCTAATAGGGAAATGTCTTGATACCCTAGTTCCCAAGAACGTGCTTGTGGAACTGGAGTGGACAGGAAACTGGCCTTTGATTCCCCACTTTCCTCTGAAAGGCACTGTATGATCCTGCTTCTCTCTGGCAGGTCCTCTCCTTTTCTTTCCTTCCACATCCGACAGCTCAACAAATGGCCTCACAGTCTGCAGAGCAATCCCCCAGGGAAATCTTCCAGGGCAACAAGCTCAGCCTTTAGACATACATTGAGATTAACCGTCAGAGCACGCCTGGTCAGTTAGCAAATTTACACCTTGTGGCTAAATGGGAGACCAATAATTATGAGCTGGAATTGACACCATGGTGATAACACAGAACATGAAGGAACAGGATGAAAGTGGGGAGAGAAAAAGGTGGGCTTTATAAGGGCAGAAACGTCACCAGCTGAGAGTTTGAATTTTAAAAAGTATATCTCAATACATTATTTAAGGAAGGAAAAAAAATCCAAACCTGTCTTTTGGTCTGAAAAGAAGAAAAAAATATCTACTCTATTGACTTCCTTTTTCTCTCACAGCAAGGAAGATCATAAAACATAAAAGGTAGAAGGAAAATGCCTAGTACATAGATTCTATAGAGAAAAAACTGAGCGCAGAGACAGCCCTGAAATTCTCTACAAAATGTCCCACTGTTTAATGTCTGCAGTTGACATCATTCGTTTTCTTTCAAGTGTAATCTGCAGACATGAATATACATCAGGGTATAACATGTAAATTTAGGTATACACACAAATGGCAGCAGAGGCCATTAAAACACCCCTCTACTTTCCTTTTATGTAGCCCTGTTGCAAAAGAGATAAGAAGTGTGACATATGATGGTAATTGCCCATTTCTAGGGGCTCACCCACATCTACTGATAATTCGAGGTTCACCTGATTTAGCCTTGCTCTAATTGCATCTTGAAGCAGCCACACAGTCTGGCAATATGCAGCTGATTATGTTACAAATTCAGTTTTAAAGGGGTTTAATTACACGGGAAGTAACTAGTGAAGGTGACAAAGAAATGATTTTAATATGTATAGCCAATGGGTTTTGGGTTGTCCTAGTGTTGTGAATTTGTTTTCAGGGCCATTAAATACACGGCAAGTTTATTCTAAACCATGGGATGTTGCAGAAGACAACTTCTTCAAAAGAAGACTAACATGACTTTAAGGATTAATCTTGGCATTCTTATGATGCATTTTGCTTTTTAACCCCCTTAATTTTAAACACACCAAAATACCACTCATTTGGGCTGTATTAATATGAAAGCCCAATTCCTGGTGGTCAGCATGCTATGGATTGGCTTAACAAATTCCTATAAACAAATTTAATGAGTACATTGAAATAAATTTCCTATAGCTGTAGAAAAAAATATGTTAAGCCAATCCATAGCACACCCACAGCAGTTCTTCGAGGATTGTTTAAAAGAATAAACTGGGCACTTAAGCGGGCTGTGCCATGCGACCTCGGGCACTGCCAACCATGGGTGAGCTCTGGGTGTGCGGGCGGCCTGGCACAGCGCTCCACTGTGTCAACGTGTTATGATGCTGTCCCATACCAACCTGGCTACTGGAATCCCCAGGAGTAAGGTGAAATATTCAAGGCTCTCCAGCACAGACGATGGCTACATTGACCTTCAGTTTAAGAAAACTCCTCCTAAGATGCCTTATAAGGCCATCGCACTTGCCACTGTGCTGTTTTTGATTGGCGCCTTTCTCATTATTATAGGCTCCCTCCTGCTGTCAGCCACATCAGCAAAGAGGGGGCAGACCGGCCATTCCAGTCCTGATCCTTGGCATTCTGGTGTTCCTACCCGGATTTTACCACCTGCACATCACTTACTACGCATCCAAAGGCTACCGTGGTTACTCCTATGATGACATTCCAGACTTTGATGACTAGCACCCACCTAATAGCTGAGGAGAAGAGTCACAGTGGAACTGTCCCAGCTTTAAGATATCTAGCAGAAACTATAGTTAAGGACTAAGGAATTCTGCAGGTTGCAGATGTTTAAGAAAATAATGGCCAGATTTTACGGATCCTTCCCAAAGATGTTAATTGAACCTGCAGTAGCTAATTAGGACATGCTCTGTTTTTCATCCCTTGGCCCTGGCAAGAGCTCCTGACAAGTTTTTCCACAGGAATATGTATCATGAAAGAATAGAGGTTATTCTGTAATGGAAAAGTGTTGCCTGCCATCACCCTCTGTAGAGCTGAGCATTTCTTTTAAATAGTCTTCATTGCCAATTTGTTCTTGTAGCAAATGGAAGAATGTAGTATGGCTAATTTCTTATTACTAAGTAATTTATTTAAAAAATATCTGAGTATATTATCCTCTACACTTATCCCTACCTTCATGTTCCAGTGGAAGGCTTTAGTAAAATCAAAGATCAGTGAGTTCATCTGTAATGTTTTTTACTTGCTTTCTTACTGACAGCAACCAGGAATTTTTTTATCCTTGGAGCAAGTTTTCAAAATGTAAATACTTTCTCTGTTTAACAGCCCTTGGCCCATTCTGATCCAGTTCACGAGTAGATGGGACAGCATACAATTTGGATCATTTTGTCCCTAGTAAATCAAATGTTCTGTAGATTATTCCTTTAATGGCTGGACTTTTGACTGTTTCCTAATGAAACACGTAGATAAGTGGTTATCATTTAGAGTTTATAACCCTATTGCTAGCACCTTGTATTATGTCATCATTCTGCTCATGATTCCAAGGATCAGCCTGGATGCCTACAGGACTAGATCACCTTAGTTTGATTCTATTTTTTAGCTTGCAAAAAGTGACTTATATTCCAGAGAAATTAAAATGTTGAAATAAAAAAAAAAATTCATAAACTGCATCCTGAAGGTCTCAGGTCAGGGTTTTGGTGTGCCAACGCAGACTCCCCTCTCCATTCATGAAAGCAAGACTTTTGTCAGCCCATTTTCTACTTACAAGGAAATATTCTGTAATTCAAACCTTTATTCGATTAAACTGGCCCCCTTCTCAATGACTCAAATTAGTCATATGGTGATTGCACTTAAATTGAGCAACTGAAAGATGTCTTTAATCTCTATTGTCCTTCCTGGTGGAAATTCCTTTTTTTTTTTTTTTTCTTTGAGATGGGGTTTTGCTCTTGTTGCCCAGGTTGGAGTGCAATGGCATGATCTCAGCTCACTGCAACTCCGCCTCCCGGGTTCAAACAATTCTCCTGCCTCAGCCTCCTAAGTAGCTGGGATTATAGGTGCCCACCACCACACGCAGCTAATTTTTGTATTCTTAGGAGAGACAGGAATTCACTATGTTGGCCAGGCTGGTCTTGGACTCCTGACCTCAGGTTAGCCACCTGCCTTGGCCTCCCAAAGTGCTGGGATTACAGGTGTGAGCCACCGTGCCCTGCCAGAAATTCCATTTCTATACAGGAATTTTGCTACTTATTTGATAGGTGTTTTGAAATTGTCCATTTATGCTTCCACCCCAGATAATAAAATGCATAGCCCATTTAGATAGTATTTTGATGCTATAAATCAGTCCAGCGTCCTTAAATCTTCTTTCTTCCTTTGATCCTTGAAAGCCAGAAATGATTTTACTGACTATAAAGTGTAGTTTTGATGGAACTTTGTATATAACCTTTCACCACATACAGGCCCCCAGTCCTACTTCACACACATAAAAATTAGGCCAATACTGTAGTCCAGCTGCCTCAGTGCCACTCAGTAACAGGATACTAACAAGTCCATGGTTCACTCTGGTAATTATCTACTTACAAATCACACGATCAAATGGGTCACCATGAAGACTTCATAGGCCAAAATACAAGTGTGTAAACTAAGGGATGCTTTTTTTTGGTCAGTGATGTGGCATCAGATATAGGGGAACAATAAGGAATTTGTTGCAAAAGCTAAGTAACAGCCATAAACTTCCACTACTTTAACATTCCACCAAGTCCTGCAAAATGTGCCTACAATGGGTTATGCCAAGGACCTGGAAGCATTATAAAGTCGATAGAAATAAACTTAAACATATAATTATTTTGTCAAAAATATAATTGGAAACAAATATGCCCATGATTAAAATATGAATCCAATATTCCAATGGACATGAATTTTAATGTCTTAGAATTCAGAAAGATTTGGTGAGGAATGATTTGAATGACTGATTTTCATTTAAAAAATTAACATGAAAGTGTAAAATGATGTTTCCTTTTTCTCTCAATACACCATGGTAATAAATAAAAACATTCAAAATGTCTCTCCTTGTTAAAGGTGAATAAACCTCAAAGCCTATTGAAAGACTAGATACAAGGTGCAAAGGCCCCAAATCTGCAACGTAAAAGGAAAGGCACCCTACCACCTCTTAGTCAGATGGAAACTCACCTCTTTCTCCCTCCTTTTACTGTATCTTAACATATTCCCTAAAACATTAAGAGAGGGGAGATTAAATCAATTCCTAGAGAAAGAAATACATATTTAAATTCAAATTACTTTGACTGGTTGCTGGGTAATTATCCCACAATCATGGCCCTTCTGCAAAGAAGGAATCTCAGAGAACAATGAAGTGCTGACGAGGACAGCCCAGGGTGCAGGAGTACCCACTTTACAATCCAGTTTAAAGAAATACACTGGGATGGACAGAAGGGGTAGAAATGATCTAAGTAAGAAGTGTGGTAATGAAAGCTCACATTTTGGAAGCAAAGCCTTTTGATGATTTGTTTGAATAATCTTCATGATCATGAAATATTTGAGATAGTAGAAAAAAGTTTGAGAAGAATAGGTATCTTCACCAATATGGAAGGAGTAGAAGATAAACTGTTTAGAGACACTTAAAGAACAATTTGGAATATGGAATACTCAGTAAAGCAAGGGGGCCAGGGTGACTTCATGAAGCAGAATTTAACTGACAAGTTAAATCTACACAATTGTAATCGGAATCTCCAAAATTTCTTGATCATATACCATTATCAGATAGAGTCTTGCTCTGTTGTTGCCCAGGCTGGAGTACAGTGGTGTGACCATAGCTCCCTGCAACCTCAAACTCCTGGGCTCAAGCAATCCTCCTGCCTCAGCCTCCCAAGTAGTTGGGACTATAGGAAAGCACTATGATGCCCAGATAATTACGAAAGAAAAATTTTTTTTTAGAGGCCAAGGTCTTGCTATATTGCCCAGACTGGTCTCAAACTCCTAGCCTCAAGTGATCCTCCCACCTGAGCCTCCCAAAGTGCTGAGATTATAGGTATGAGCCACTGTTCCCAGACTATCTACTTATGTATCTGTGTGCTACTGTCAACCATTACATAAACATGGACTAATTTCTTCCCTCTTTTAAAAAAGATAACAAATAGAAGTCTTAATATTTTTTTCTTGCATCCCAAATAATTATCTTGTGCACCCCACTGGAACATTAGCACAAACTTTCAAAAATGAATTCTTTCAATGCCTCTCACAAAATTGATAAGCTATATGGAATGTATTAATATATTTTACCCAACTCCTTCAGTTAACCTCCCTAATACTGGAAGTTGTAAGATCCTTGAGGACAGGATTCACCTCTGTGCCTTCCATGGTCCCTAACTGTGGCTACTTAAAATGCAATTAAGAGGCCTGGGTGAGTGAGAGCACCCAGGCAGAACAGAACTGTGTGCTTCGGTGTCAGTTACCAGAGCTCCTCAGCTGCTTGCGTCACTGGCTAAATTAATAGTAATGGTGATTATTTAAGTCTACCTCTTAAAGGACTAATTAATCTTTCTTATTAAGTACGTACATAGAAGACAGTAATCCTTATCTTACAAATGGAGAAAGAGAGGCAAGAAGGGCCTCAGGCTATTTCTGTACTTAGGATACTAAGCACCAGTGTTAATTCATTTAATTTAGGAATTAACAACCCAACTACCACTACTATCTCTTGCCTTCCCCTGAAAAATCCAGATGTTCCTAATTTACTTTGTTGTACCATTTTAGCAATTCTCACAATTGCTAATGAACAATTTTGATATGCCAATCAAACACAATCTGCTAGTGGTGTTCTGGCATTAGTCACACAAATTTCCTTTGACTAGTAAAGAACGCAATATGCATTCATCTATTAAGTCTTGGTTGCCTTACTTCTTTTAAGGAACGTGTCTGAGACAGGTGTTCAACCATTTTGCTTCCCTGAGCCACACTGGAAGAAGAACTATCTTGGGCCACACATAAAATACACTAATACTAACGACAGCTGATGAACTAAAACAAACAAATAAAAAAACTCAAATGTTTTAAGAAAGTTTAAGAATTTGTGTTGGACTACATTCAAAGCTGTCCTGGGCCACTTGTGCCCTGCGAGCTGCGGGTTGGGCAAGCTTGAAAGATGTGATTTTTTAAAAAGGTCCATCAAATGCTGATGTGGAACAAACTACAGAATACTTTGTAGCAAATGAGGCAGATTTCAGTAATAATGTGTGCCAAGTGTTTTATATATATATATATATAAAATATCTCATCGAATCCTCACAATTACAAGTATTATAAACACATACTCCCCCTTTTAACACAGGAGGACCCTGAGGCTGATGGAGTTGGGACAATTTGTCCAAGGCCACGTAGCCAGCAAGTGGCAGAGCTAAGATACGAACGCAGACAGTTGGGCTCCAGAGCCTTCCTAAGTGTTGGGGAAATGAGAAAGTGGCATTTTCCTTGCAGTGACCTGTGAGGAAGCTGCAGATAATACAACTTCAAATATAGTAAAAAATAGTTCACATACATTAAGAACTGTTTATGAGCTCTGACTTCCAATGGAGGTGAGAAAATAGTGGCAAGTGATTGTTGTGAATTTAGAATGAAAGCTTTTATTTGTGTTCATTTTGTACAAAACGCTAGTATCTGGGAGTAGAGAAAGTTACAGAGGCTATTTTGTCTCTTCCAGCATCATTATTTAGACTCAGTTACTATTGTCATGATTTACTATTATTATTTCTGTCTCTTGAAGGTCACAGAGGCACTTTTTATGCCTTCAGAACGGCACAGATTTAAGTAAAACTGCAAATGAGTTGCTCCATATTTGACTTGTAATATGGAGTTGATAGCTCAGTAATAGGTGGGGAAAAAAAAGGGGCCCCCTGGTAGTCCCCGTTATCACTGCGGTCATGATACATTATTCTATATTTAGTTTATTTGGAAGTTCCGGTGGGCTCTGTCTTTATTTCTGACACTTCAAGGAACTAGTGCTATTTCTTTGTTTCAGGGAAAGAACAAGCTCAAAAAATGAAAATAATCACTCTTGGTATTTAAAGCTTCAGTGAGACAGTGTGAATGGCAAGTTTTGAATACAGAAAATTCATTCATTCATTTAACAGTAATTATTTGATAATATTTATCGCACACTTATATATGGCCAAGGATTCTTTTAGGTTCCTAGGATTTAGGTGTGGCCCAAACTTGACAAAAATATCTGTCCTTATGGAACCTGTATTTCAGAATAAATATGTTATATCATTAAATTAACTAGATAGAAAGGGTAGGTACTCATTATTTGATCACTTAAAATTAAGTGTTACATTTAAGAATATACTTAAGAGGATTACCTGTGGCCTAATCATTACTTTTGTGATCACACTTTATCACACATTTATTAATTCTAGATTTAGCATCTATTCTTGTTTGGAGAGAAGCTGGCAAAGACTATAAAAGTATAAAGAACAAGCTTGTGTCTATAAAATTATAAACAACACATACATTAATAGAATTCATTGAGCAAAGGGCATTAGATATTTAAAATGCATTTTAAAACTGATATAATTGAGGGTGTAATTTAATTTTAGATAATATTAATGGTAAGAATTTTTTTTTTGCTAATCTTTTATTTTA